TTCAAATCCTTTGTATTCCCAAGTAATTTTATCTACTTTATTTATCATAGGTCTAGATATATTAATTTTTGGTTTCTAATACATTTTACTTTATATATTTCATTGTTATGCTATTTGGATCATTGAGGATCTAGAGTATTAGGTCTTTACTACTGAATATGTCTTTCGTCAATATAAAATGCTCTTCCTGGTCATGTTCTAATTTTCTTTTCATAAGCTGAGTATGTCTCCAGTTTAAGGTTGTCTTTATGTAATAACAACAATAGGATCCTTTAGGAGTAATCAGACAGCAAGAGGTATAAAATTAAATTAGAAATTATAATCCTAAATTTTTTAAATCAATAGTGTTTCCTACACATGCTGTTGCAAATTCAAAGGCTCGAGGGGTGATCATCTATGTCATCAACACAGATGACAAGTAGATAATTCACAAAAAGAATAAACCTAAACCACCACAATCTGGAATTATGAAATGTGGACACCACCACTCTGGATTTCTAGCAAAGATTTCACAAAAAAATGTTTATATTAAGTAGTGGTCACTCATTGTGTTTCATATGTTAGGGCTACAGACTAAACTTGATTAAAGTTCATGGAAGGGAAAGTTCACATACATCTGTGGACAATTTTATTTTCAATATTAATTTCTATTTCTTTAATTAAAGTTTTTGAGCTTGATTAGAAGTATTATGTTAGGAAAATATCTAATGAACTGAGTCCTACAATATGAAATTTAAAAAATGTATGAACACTTATAAGAAGCTCTTTTGGGGCACTGGTTAAGGCATTAAGCTGCTAACCAAAAGGTCAGTGCTTCAAAGCCACCAGCTGCTGTGCAGAAGAAAGATGAGGCAGTCTGCTTCCATAAAGATTTATATCCTTGCAACCCTGTGGGGGTCACTATGAGTTGGAATTGACTGAATGGCAGTGGATTTGGTTTTTTGGTTTGAAATACTTAAAGAATGTAAAACTTATATTTAAAGCAGATTCTCTTAATAGATATGGCTTCTGGTATACAGTGTGGTAATATGATTTTTCTACCATTCTTTTTCAAAATATACACTCATTAATATCACTTAACATAATGGGGTTTAATAAACATTTTAAATAGGGTACAACAAAATTTAAATTATGCACTTATCTATGTGAACTTAGTGACACAAGGAAGCAAGAAAAATGACATCCACATAGCTAAATCTAAATGCTTATTTTAAACAAGAGTTTCATCTTTTTTCTGCCAAATTCCGAACTTTTGGTCACTTTCTAGTGGAGAGGCTCTGGCAAGAAACCTAAAAAGTAGACTGAAGAGGAAGGAGAGAACTGGATATATCAACCAGAGGGTAGTCCTGAAAAAATGCATATGGGCTTCAGTTACAACTTTATATGGACATCAATGTCCTTTAGATGTTTTCAGATTCACAGTTGCATTACACAGGGCTGCACTACTAACTCCATCCCACATGTCTCATACTTCATCCTACACATGCCATTCTGAGACTGCTGCACACAGAAGAAATATGTGCAAGAGAAAAGTGTTATATAAACAGCAACTATGAACTCTTGTTAGCACTTACATTATTTGGACTTTGTTGAGAGTCGATTGCTCTTTTATGATATTGCCAAGTAGCTGAGAGGCCTCTATCCCTTAACTATTGTAGTGACTAGCTTTGGGCTTTGTCCAGAAGTCCATGATCAATGATACTGACTGAATCAACCAGAATCCAAGGTGAGTTCCATCCCAAGTGTAGTTTATTGATGACACCCACTGTAGTCCCATGTTAAGAAGGCTTGTTTCCAAGTATCAACAAACTATTTTAATCCTACTTATTAGAAAGCCTGGCAGGGTTTCACTCTGTTGACATAGGGTGGCTGTGAGTTGGAACTAACTTGATGGCACCTAACAACAACATAAAAAACTCTAAGGAAATAAAACCTACTATATTGTTATATTTTAGAATAATGGTAACATATAAATTTATTCATTAAGTTCCTATACAAACTAGACAAAACTACCCTATATAACCCCTTCCTCCTTACTATAGTATAAATGTAAGTATTGAAGAAATGACATTTAAAGATAAAATGTTAAGAGTTTCACCTAAATTTATAATTTTAACACTGGAATTTAGTCTTATCAGCAAAATAAATATTGTGAATTTAACACTTTAGCTCATACATTAGTAGCAGTAAGATTGCTAATGCAGTTAGGTAAGTCAGGAACAAAAAAACAAACTTGTACTGTTTATTCAAGACCTCTTTCAACTGCTGTGAAAGAGTCTGCTTTCACTTGTTGTTGTTGTTAGGTGCCGTCAAGTCGTCTCTGACTTATAGTGTGACCCCACGCGCAGCAGAACTAAACTCTGCCTGGTCCGCTTGCTACACTTGAGCTATACTTGATCCCTGTTTATGTGCAATTTAATCATTAAAAGACAGCTCCCAAGGCCATTTACGCTACAGGGAAGTTAAAGCCTGTTTCTTTGATAAGGACTATATTTATAAGCATACGTGTCTTCGACGCAAACCACAAACCACAGTGCACTGTTGCTGAGGAGGGGGAAGCAGGAAGACGGTTACTTTTGACTCTCAAGTTTTGTATTATGTGAAATATTTCCATGAACATGTGCTTCTTTTGTAATTTTTAAATATTTGAAATTAAAACAGGAACAACTGATGAATGGCAGGGGTACACCTCACTTTTCCCTGCCTTCCTCCTATATACTGAGAGGCACATCAGCTTCAGGGCAGGGCTCTGGGCTACACTGCCTGGGTCAGAACCTCAGGCTGGTCATTTAAGAGCTGTGGAATCTTGGGCAAGTTATTTAACCTTCCTATTTAACCTTTACCTCATTTGTAAAACCAGAGTAACATTAGTACCTATGACAAAAGGTTCTTGGGAGGACCAGTGGGTTAATATCCACAGTGCACTTAAAACAGTGCCTAGCAGGGAGGGAGTACTTTTCCATGCATCTTGGCTGTGGCTGGATATCATGATCAACCAGCCACTCCTCGGAAGGAAGGTTGGGCAATCCTACTTCCGTAGTGATACTGCCTCAGAAGCCCAAGGAGGGGTCACTATGAGTCGGGTTTGACTCGACGGCACATAACAACAACAACAACAACAACAAGATCATCCTAGTTATAATCAGGAGGCAGTATAGCATGAGGTGAAGTTTTGAATCTCGGTTCTATCACATGTTAACTGAGACCACGAGAAATAGACCCAACTCTGGAAGCCTTGGTTTTCTCATCGGTAAACTGGAACTCAAACCAAAAAAAACCACAGTCCATGCCATCAAGTTGATTCTGACTCACAGCAAACCCCATTGGGTTTCCAAGGCTGTAAATCTTTACAGAAGTAGACTGCCTCATCTTTTCTTCCACGGAGCAGCTGGTAGGTTTGAACCACTGACCTTTTGATTAGCAGCCAAGATGCCTTACCCACTATACCACCAGAGCTCCTAAACTGGGACTAAACAGTATTGCTTTCATAGAGTGGCTGTGGGGCTTGAATGATGTGTTATGTCTGTATAAAGCACTGAGCACAGTAATAGGCATTTGTTGTATACTGTAAGTGGTGCTGGTTTTTATAACGATAATTTACTAAAATTGGGGTCTTTCTATATATTGTAGCAAAAAAAGAAAAGAAAAAAACTTTTTTCCAATGAAGCAAATTCTTCATGCCATAAAGTCCTGGCTCTGTTTTAAGTAAGTGCTGGCCCACTTAAAATATTCTCATAAATGCTGCCTCACCTTCATATTTAAAGCACCAATCCGTTAGCATTTTGTAAGTATTTATTATAAATATATTGGTTGGAGTTTTGAAATCTTAGGTAAATATGAATGGCCCTGCCTGCTTTGGGTGCTGCTGTCTGTGGTAGAACAGTGTGTAACACTTAAAAGCAAACAAACAAACAGAAACACTGACATCAAGTCAATTCCAACTCATAGCAACACCCTTTGTGGTTTCCAAGGCTGTAAATCTTTACGGAAGTACATCGCCTCATCTTCTTCCTGTGGAGCAGCTGGAGGGTTTGAACCGGTACCCTTCTGGTAAGCAGCCAAATGCCTTACCCACTACACCACCAGAGCTTCGCCTAACACATAACAGTTACTAACTGAGTTTTCTTCAATTATATGAATAATGAACCTGAAAAAGATCTGGAAATGGCTTTTGCTTTTGCTTTGTTGAGGTTGTGGGCAGCCCATTGAAGATAGTTTAGAATTATCTCCAAACACTGGGCAGACCTGGCTTCTAGTCTTGCCTTAGCCCTGAGTGACCTTGGATAATTACCCAAAATTCACTGAATCTGTTTCCACATCATTTATCTTCCAGGTTTCTTGCAGCTCCAACATCCTACCACTATGTCAAGTGATTCCCTGTTGGGTAGCACTGAGTTACACAGCACTCAGTATTAGGAACTGATCGATATTAGGAATTCCTCCTCATTTGGACTTTACTCTAAATCAACAGAGTCACGATGAACATTACATAAGGAAAAACAAAATAAACTGAAACAACTGTTTCTTACAATTCCATTGAGATGATTTCTGTTTATCTCTATCTCCACTGTCACTCCCAGGCCCCTGCAATGGTGGCAAATGAGTAGCATGATTTGAGCCTATGAGTACGGTTAGCGCACACAAGACTTCAACGCAAAATTCACTGTGGAAACAACGAGAGAGAAACAGGACAAACAGACAGTGTGAAGCACACAGTGACGGAGGGAAAGCCCTTGCTATGCATGCATTGAGAAAGCAAAGTCTGAATGGTAGAAGGTGTCACATTGCTGAATGAGAGAGAAGGTCTGTGGATCAAATATAAGAGGGGCAGTCTGAGAAGAGAAAACGCCCATTTCCAACAAACCTTGCGATGAATCGCTCTCACAAACAACCACATACAAAGCAGTACTAGCTTCTCTCCAATTTGCTTGGTGACTACGGCCTGCTGAAAGGTCTCCCCAGCTGCCCTGCTGCAGTGTGGTCCCTTGGCAGATGCCTACCTTGCAGTGTGTGGTGCTGACAGGAAGCCCAATGTTGGAGGCAACCACCACCGTGAACGCTGAGGCCAGTTCAATGGTGAAGCCACTGCGGGAGGGAACACAAGGAGACACATCACAGGCGTGCTTTGTATCGCCTTCACGGACACCCTGTGGTGCCAGAGTCTCACCAGAATATTCTGTGGGTTGATTGTTGACTGCTGACTAGGCCAGAACGACATGAACAGAACAAGAAACTGCTGCATAAAGGCAACAATTCACACTGAGACTTCCCATTATACTGTTTACAGCCCTAAATAGCCTTGCTTTTCTGACACGCTTTTTCAAAAACCACACACTGCAGTAACTAGGTCAGAACCTCCTGCTGTGAAAAAAAAAAAGGAGACATTAAATAGTAAATTACTGATTTCTAAAGCAGGGTAGGAAAAGTTATGCTTTCATTTTAAAGATGTGTACTTACACAAAAAAAGTGTGTGTTTTTTTCAGATGACTACAATTTTTTTCAAATCAATCTTCTGAATCTTTTATTAAAGTGACTTCCAACTAAGAAAATTTAAAATTAGAAAAGAAAAAGAAAACCTACAATGTTTTAAAAAATAAGAAGAGATTCCTTACAATAGGTAGCTCCTAATTTTACTGGTTTTCTGAAAGTTTTCGTATAAGTTTGTTATTTATCACCTAATATATCTAAAGAATAGTAGTAACTGTCTACAAAACAGCATGGCCACATGACAACATCCAGAGTTGCTCCAGAACCCTGCCCTAGGATGGCAGAACACATTCCCCATCCGGCTGAGCCGGAAGAAAGATGTACAAGCTAGAAGGATGATGAGTGAGAGCTGAGTAAGAGGTCAGACAGGGTCTCAAGGGGGCTTCCCCAGGGGGAAGAGAGGATTTTCAGGGAAGGCAGACCTACATCCATGGTGTGGTGTGTGCCCTTTGTCTCTGCGTACACTCTGGCCCTCATACTGGGCACGACCTGCAGACAGAGTGGACTGGGGAGCTGCACGGTGGGGCTCTCTCATCTTTCCTCCTGCTTCTCCTTCCTTCTGTCTTTCTGTCCTCTCATTATCTCTCATTCCTCCTCTCAGAGTCACTGTGGATGGGGGTCCAGATGACGGCATGAGGGAGGGTAATGATGGCTGGTATTGGGACTGTGTGGGTGGAGAGCAAAGGCCGGGGGAGGTGTTCTTACCCTCTGCCTCTCCTCACAATGACAACCAACTGCACAGTGGCTGTGCTGAGGGCCAGTGGGAGATGGAGGTCAGCATGATAGGGTTTTCACACATAACAAGCTTGGGTCTGCTGTAGGCCTCAAATGACAAGCTCTGTCAACCCAGCCCAAACCCCTGTGCTTACCTGGATGGTGTGATTGGAGTGAGGTCCTTTCCCATGGTCTGGATCACTCTTCTCCCCCAAACCCAGAGACCTGTACAAATTCCGACTCCTCCATAAAACAGCAGCCAGACAGGAGTAGTTGCTTCTTGTAATACTCCACCTTGTTTGTAAATGAGCCACAAAGCTACCAGGGGACCAATGGCATTACTGTAATTAAAAAAAAAAGAATGAGAGTTAATTATGCATACAAATGGCATAGTCCTCAGTATGCAGAGACCTGCCAATCTGGAGAAGCCATCCTACCGTATTTGTCACAGTGCCTAAGGTATCTGACTGCTAAACAGAAGGTTAGCAGTTCAAACCCACCAGCCACTCCACTGAAGGAAGACAGGACAATCTACTTCCATAAAGATTTACCGCCTCAGAAACCCAATGGGGGTCACTATAAGTCGGAATCGACTCGATGGCAGTGGGTTTGGTGCTTTTTTTTATTTTTTAATATAATCTACTGACAATAAAAATGATTTATTCATTTTTTTTTTTTTTTTTTTTTACCGAGTACAGATGATAAACATAAGAAATGAACACAATTTTTTTTTCTCAATTTTCTGCCCATTTTCACTGACCCCTGAACTATAGCTACTAATACTAGCTATCATTTTTGGACAGACCTTTCAGGTCCCACACTATAGGTTTGCTAGGCATTGTCACTCCCATTTCATAGAAAAGGAAACTGAAGCAGAACTAGGACTTGGTGAGGGCTAATTCTGGTGTGTAAGCCCTCTCCCCAAGACATGCTAGCTTCCTCCAGGGCCCTCAGCAGCAGTAGAGCACTGTCACAGGCCTGTAAGGGTTTCTCTGGCCTCCTCCTCCCAGCCCAGCTTATATAGGAAGAGTATGGGCTGAGCGTCACAAGCAATGGCTTCCCAGTCTGTTTCTCCCTAGCTGTAGTCCTGGTTGAGTAGCTGGGCCTCAGACTATGACTCTTAAGGTTACCATGTACCTACCGACCTCAATGAGCTGTTCTGAGAAAGATTAAAATAAGTTATATATGGTTCTGTACTGAGGCCTGGTATAAACTTGATAATCATTTGATGAAGGAATAAATAAACAGTAGAAACCCCCTTTCCATTGTCAGATTATTTCTAGAACCTTCCTCTCAGACCACACTCTTGCACAAAGGCCTCACTCAGTCCTAGCCCTAGAACTGGAAGTCACTGCTCTAAATGCTGCTTGTCTGTAGCAGTGCCTTACCCCCAACCTCTTCCTTTGGCCTTGAAATACTGTTTTTGATTGGTTTGTTACTTTCTGATGTATATATTTTTCTTATCTCCCTTAAAAACCCACTGCCATCGAGTTGGATCTGACTCATAGTGACCCCTCCTTCAGTTTCTGAGGCAGTATCACTACGGAAGTAGATTGCCCAACCTTCCTTCTGAGGAGTGGCTGGTGGGTTTGAACCACCAGCCTTCTGGTTAGCAGTCAAATGCCTTAGGCACTACGCCACCAGAGCTCCCTTATCTCCCTTACTGGAGTTTAAATTCCTGAAGAGCAGGGATCTGATTCAAAACACTCTGCCACCACCAGGCCTTCAATAAAGCATGCCTGATGGTGAGGAGGAAGAGGTGGTGATGTGAGGGACAGATAAGTCATTATCAAGAGCAGAAGAGAACATGGTGCCCAAATAATATGGAAAGATCAATATGACACTGAGCAAATGTAAAATGTCCAGGTGTCTTAAGAGTCTGGCAGCAGGACTTCTTTAAAAAAAGAATAGAAATGCAGTCACACATGGGTAACAGTGTACGGAAACCCACAGCTGTAATGTGGACAGTCAGAAAACTGACTCAACAGCAGTGTATTTTTTCTTGATTTGGAGCCTTGGTAGTGGTTAAGGCACTCGGATGCCAACCAAAAGTCTGAAGGTCTGAACCAAGAAGGTGCTTGCTCCTCAGGACAAAGATGGGTCAGTCTGCTTCTATAAAGATCTACAGCCTTGGAAACTCTATGGGGGCAGTTCTACTCTGTCCTATTGGGTCACTATGAGTCAAAATCAATTCAATGCAGTGTGTTTGGTTTGGTTTGGAGAAATCAAGTATCTTGTCTAATGCTACACAGCTAGTAAGAGGAGGGTACAGACTCCAATTGGAGGTTCTTGGACTCCAGGAAGTTAGCCTATTTTCCTACAGGGCCAGGCCTGGGCACAGAGTGGGGCCAGGTGAGGCTGAGGCAGGAGAGTTATATTCCTCACCTGCTCTTTTGAGCAGGAGGAAAGAAAGCCTGTTACGTTATTTCACTGGGTTACTCAAAAGCTATGTAAGGCAGCTACAGAGCCTGGATCTTCAGAGAAGAAGAGACTGCAGGGTTGAGATACTACTGAGCAATTTAGTTGTTCTTATTCCACAGAAAAGGCGTTCTGGTGGTGTAGTGCCTAAGCCATTTGACTGTTAACCAGAAGGCTGGCAGTTCAAACCCACGAGCCGCTCCACAGAAGGAAGAGGGGGCAATTTATTTCCGAAAAGAGGAAACTGCTTAGCCACTGGGCAAAGGCCCACTAGTCATCTTACCCAGGGAGTGCAGTCTGATTGTGGGCTGGTCCCAGTCTGGAAGGATCCCTAGGAGTTGTTCCTCAACTAGCAGCCCTGGTTGGGCTCTGCACATTTTCCACTGCCTCCCCGAGGCAGATTCTGCCTGCAGTGTCCTCAGCCCAGTCTGTGGGTCATGTATCCTGTGCTCCTATCCTGCCTCTGCATCACCGTCACTGCTATGAGCACCTCTGCTGCCACCAAGAATAGGCAATGTGGCTTCTTGCTTGTGGCCTGCCAGTCAGCGCTGGGCTCTTGGTACTTTACAGATATAGATTCTTTTTATTTTTTTATTTTTTTTTGAGCAGGGAGAGATGTGAAAATACACAGTCATACACCATTTCAACAATTTCTACTTGTACATCTCAGTGGCATTGATTATATTCTTCAAGTTGTGCAAAGATTCTTACCTCCATTCTCTAAACTGTACCACTGACTTAAACTCACTACCCCTGAAGCTCTCACCTAATCTTTCAAGTTGCTGTTGTCAATTTGATCTCAGATAGATAATTCTTTAAGACTGCACAATGCTCAAGGCAGACATACTTTATTTATTAAGATTAACAACTTTTTTGTACAAAGACTTTAGGGGACAGTTTTGGTTTAAAGTTTAAACATGATCTCACCCAGCCTCAGTGGATCCAGAAAGTCTATATTCCAGTGAGAACTTGAAATTCTGTTCTGCATTCTGCCCCCTTTTTGATCTCCTGTAGAAGTAAGCTGATTCTCCTACAGAATCTCTGATCAAAAGGCAGATACTGACTTTTTAATGCTTACAACAATCCTATTAGGGAGGTGCTGCTGTCCCTCTTTTACAGGCGAGGAAACTAAGGCAAGAGAGAGCAAAAACACAACATTTCCTCTATGTAAAATGCTGGTGCCCCATTTTTGTTTAACGAACTCCTGTTAAAGCCTCTGGGACCCTGTTGCAATGTCATCTCTCTCTGGAAGCTTTTCTCACTTCTCCCAGACAGTGCTGATTCCCCTCCTCTGTATTCTCCCAGAGCTTAGCTCACTGCTCAGTTATACCTCATCACACTAGTTATTTGTTCACAGGTCTGTTATTCCTTATGCTCTCAACAAATAGAGCACACAGACCATATTTTATTCATCTTTTTACTCCAGAGCTTCGTACATGATCTGGCACATACTAGGTGCTCAATACATGTTTGATGACGGACTAAATGAACGAGTGGGAAGCTTCTAGGTGACCAGTTTAATGCTTTGTTTGCAATTTTGAAAACATCTTTTTGTAGAATATTCCCACTGCCATCGAGTCAATTCTGACTCATAGCGTCTCTATAGGACAGAGTAGAACTGTCCCATAGGGTTTCCAAGGCTGTAAATCTTTAGGAAAGCAGACTGCCTCTTCTTTCTCCCATAGAGCAGCTGGTGGGTTCGAATCAGCAACCTTCTGGTTAGCAGCTGAATGCTTTCACCACTGCCCTACTAGAGCTCCTTTTGTAACACATTCAAACAAAAAACTCACTGCCATCGAGTTGATTCCAACTCACAGAGATTCCCATTGGGTTTCCAAGGTGGTAAATCTTTATGGAAGTAGATTGTCCCATCTTCCCTCCGTGGGAATGAAAAAATCTGATTTGAGAGTGTACAAATGACATGCAAATGTCATGTGCTGAGTGCACATGACAGATCACCTCTCTGAATGTTCTCATTAGTTACTGATTTGACAAATCTCATTCTTGTTTCTTCCTTGTTTCCTACACCCTTCAATTTTGGAGTGCTCAGGGCTCTGGTGTTGTCTCCTCCAGCTACACTCACTCCGTAGCTGTTCCTCCCTACACTTTGGAGGAAAAGGAGTCACACTTTTATAGCCCAGTCTGCACCTCTCCCCCTGAACTTCAGACTTATAGCTAGTACCCACTCAACCTTGTCACTTGGATATCAAAACATCTCAGACTTAAAACCAGTTAAACCAGTTGTCATGGGTCAGCTCTGACCATGGTGGCCACACATGGGTCAGAGCAGAATTGAGCTCTGTAGGGTTTTCAGTGGCTGATTTTTTTGGAAGCAGACTGCCAGGACTTTGTCCTGCGGTGTCTGGGTAGATCTGAACTACCAACTTTTCAGTTAGCCCTCAACTGCATTAACTGTTTACACCACGCAGGGACTCCATCTCAAACTTAGCATGTCGAAACCCAAGCTTCTGGTATTATGACCCTAATCTGTCCCTCTCACAGTCCCCCTTCTGGATAAACAGCAATGCCACTCTTAGTTTCTTAGGGCAAAATAGTGGGGCTCAGCCTGATTCTTCTCTTTCTCTCACACCCCATATTCAATCTGTCAGCAAATTCTACCTTCAAAATATATCCAGATTCTATTTGTGCTGCCACCCCTGGTCCAAGTGACATCACTTCTCCCCTGGATTCTTGCAATAATCTCCTAACTGGCCTCCCTACTTGTACCCTGTTTCCTGTAAGTCTATTCACAAAACAAAAGCCAGAGTGATCCTGTTAAACATGGATCACGTCAACCTCTGCTTAAAACCTCCAAGGGCTCCCCTTCTTTCAAAAGTGAAAGCTCCCTTCTGTTTATATGGTCCTATATATGGTAGCATAGTGGCTAAGACACTTGCCTGCTAACCAGACGGCTGGCGGTTCAAACCCACCAGCCACTCCTCGGAAGGAAGGTTGGGCACTCCTACTTCCGTAGTGATACTGCCTCGGAAACCCAAGGAGGGATCGCTATGAGTTGGGGCCGACTCGACGGCACATAACAACAACAACAACAATATGCTGGTAGCATAGTGCCTAAGGACTTGACTGCTAACCAGAAGGCTGGAGGTTCAAATCCATCAGCCACTCCTCAGAAGGTTGGACAATCTACTTCTGTAGTGATAGCGCCTCAGAAACCCAAGGAGGGGTCACTATAAGTTGGGTCCGACTCGAGGACACATAAAAAAACAGCAACAACATACATGCTGGAGGAGCTCTGGTGGCATAGTGCCTAAGGCATTTGACTGCTAACCAGAAGGCTGGCGGTTCAAATCCACCAGCCACTCCTGGGAAGAAAGACTGGCAATCTACTTCCGCAGAGATACTGCCTCGGAAACCCAAGGAGGGGTCGCTATAAGTCGGGTCCAGCTTGACGGCACATAACAAAACAGCAACAACATATATGCTGGAGGAACTCTGGTAGCGTAGTGCCTAAGGCATTTGACTGCTAACCAGAAGACTGGCAGTTCAAACCCACCAGCCACCCCTCAGAAGGAAGGTTGAGCAATCTACTTCCGTAGTGATACTGCCTCAGAAACCCAAGGAGTTGGATCTGACTCAACGGTAGCGAGTTTGGTTTTGGTTTTGGTTTATATATGCTGGGCCTCTGTGACTTGCTGCACTCGATGTCTACATTCTCCCCTCCATGACTTCCTTGCTGTTTCTACAGTATACCAGGGGCACTCCTGCCTCTGGCTTTTGTACCTGCTGCTCTCTCTTCTGGAATGCACTTGCCCCCAGATGAACATGGCTGGGTCCCTCATTCCTTTCAGATCACACTCGGCCAGCCCCTTGCTGAGGAGTGGATCTGAAACGGCAATCTCCTAATAGACCCCATTCCCTTTTCTGCTTTATTTTCCCTTTAACATTGATCCCGGCCTGTCATCCTAGATGGTCCCTGGGTGGTGCAAGTGGCTCGTGCTCAACTATTAACCTACACATGGAGTAGGTTAAGTCGCCTTGAGTGGGAATTGACTTGATGGCAAGTAACAGTGACATTAATCTAAAGGTTGGTGGTTCAAGCCCACCTAGTGGTATCACAGAAGATATGCCTGGTGATCTACTTGTAAAGCTAATAGCTGAGAAAACTCCATGGAGCAGCTCTACTCTGTAACATGGGGTCGCCAGGAGTCAGGGTCAACTTGATGGCAATCAGTTTGGGTTTTTGTGTTGTCATCCTAGACGTGCCTGTTGTCCACTGGTTAATGTCTGTTATCATTCCCACCTCTCAACTAGAATGTAAGCTCCTTAATGGCAAGGATTTTTGTCTGACGTGGTTACTGCTATACCCCAGTGCCCAGACTGGCACCTGGCACATGACAGACCCCTAATATATCTCCTCATTGAATGAATGAATCAACATACTTACCTCACGTCATTGCCACCATGAGCAAAGGATCCAAAACAGGCAGTAAGGACTTGCAGGAAATGGAACAGGAGGTGCACCTCTGCTGCATCTTTCTCCTCCTTTTCTTCTTCTATGGGGTCCTCCTGAGGCTGGTCAGGATCAGTCAGCTCAGACGCCAGCTTCATTTCTACACCTCCCTCTTCTGCCTCTATCTCAGCCTCTGCTACCGCATTGCAGTAGCTTGAGTAGCTGTCATAGCGAAGTCTCTTTTTAGAATAGGACACGGTGTCACCCACCAGCTTTTCACTGTCTTCGGGGGCAGACGACGAATCAACAGCTTTAAAAGTCGAGTGCACTGGCATTCCACAAATGGCTGCTGTGTAGCAAGTGTAACTGTTATTTCGCCGCAGCAACCTATAGTTGTTTTCCTGGGTGGGCTTCTCCTCAGGCCCTCTGTCTACGTGGATTTTGTGCAGTAAATCTTTGTAGAGCCCCGAGTCTTTGTGCACAGTGTGGTACACGTGGACATCACTTCTTGTATGACCATCAAAGCCAAACGTTCCATTGGAGATAGGTGACTTTGCAGAGCCATGAGTCATGGAAAGTGCTCTTCCTGAAAAGGATTGAATACAACTTATTTTCTGGCCTTTTGAATATAAATCATGCCTGGAAGGAAACACTCTTCCCACTATCTCCAGTGTTTAATGGTGGCTATCTCCAGAAGGTTGGAAAATGAGTGACTTTTATTATTTTCTAGATATTATTATTTTTTCTACATACTATCTGTTTTTTTCTATACACTTAAAAAAAATTTCTAAACTGACTATAAAGGACATGTAATACAGTTAAAATAATAAAAAAAGAAACTCAAAAGCATATAACAAAAGGGTAAAATTACTAACATAGTACTTTTTCAAAGCTGTTATTTAAGCTCTCCTAAAGGCCACTCCTCGGAAGGAAGGTTGGGAAATCTACTTCCATAGTGATATTGCCTCGGAAACCCAAGGAGGGGTTGCTATGAGTTGGGGCCGACTTGACGGCACATAACAACACAACAACAACAAAGAGCATCTTTCTGAAATTACCACTGTTTCCTTTTTATCTTTTTCTAGATAAAAGGAGAATCTTTAATTGGAACTTATTTTAGTAAACTCCATATATGAGGGACAAAACTTCAGATATTCCAGGTGCTTCGTAAAAGGCCAATCATGACTGTCAGAAGATAGGGTCTATCATATTGGCGGGGAACAATTATTTTGCTTTCTTTGGGCCAAGTCAAGCACTGCATCTGCAGAAAGCTAGTGCCAGGGCCCAGCCTGCATGGAGGCAAAAGCTGCCTGCAGAGCCCTGGGTGGAAGCTGGGGCTTTCCTACCATGTCCATATACACTATGGGACAAAAGGCCAAGTCAGGATGGTCCTGATGTTTTCTAAGGTTTCTGTGATTCTGTGGTGGGGATGACCTTCTTTGATCCAACGTTAGCTTTCTCTTCATGTCTTCCTTAATAAGCTGAGCAAACCCATCTTCAGCAATTATTTATGCCCTGCAGCCCAGACATGGACAACAGGCATGTGTAGTTGAGTAAGTGCTGCACAGAGACACGGTGTGGGGACCCCTGGAGCCTCTGATAAGGCTATAAATATATCTTGGAAGGAAATCACAGGACAAGCATAACCCTGCTCTGTTGACTATAGAATGGTTTCTAAAGGTCTTTTTAGCTTCTGGGTTTTTATCAAAACCTAACCTTGAGGGAAACTTTTAAAAACCTGACTGCCCACACCCAGACCTGGCCAATTATCTCCTGAGGAACTTCTCTCTGCCATCATGTAAAGCCAAGCCCTTAGCAGGCATCTTACCATATGAGGCCCGGGGATGGTTTCCCACTGATGTGACTTCTGAGGCCCCGGAGGTCTCCCCAGCCAACCCCGTGAGAGGGACAGTGCTGTTGTCATTAGCCTTGGCACCTGGTAGCTCTTTAAATACTGGGGACTCCACTTCCTGAACTCTATTGAGGCTTTCATCAGATTCTCGTGACAAAGCACCTTCTTTTTGCAATTTGCCTAAGGAAAATAAAGTCATAAGTGAAAATTTGGAAGAGAATTCTTGTTCTTAAAATAATGAACATATATTCTTATATTAATACTTTAGAAACAAACAAACAAATTAGCTATAAGTTATATCTAGACAGGGAAAATAAAGTGGAAAGTTCAATTAATTATTTGGATAACTCAGAAACTGTGGCTATTGAGGAAAAGATGGGGGCTTAGGGCCTGAATTATCTCATTCAAAAATAATAAAAGAGAAAAGGTTAGATTGTATCACACCAAGGTCCCTACCAGGGCTAACATTCTGTAATTCTACCTAGCTTGGTTTTCAATTTTCTTAAACTAATCTCATAATCATGGAAACGTTTATTCTTTTTGTCTTCACAGATATTATTATAGCATGTTTGGTTTTCTTGTGTTCAGTAAGTTACTGGTCTAAAACGTCCTCAGGTTACCCAATCTTAGGAAGCAAAGAGATCTTCTTCCACAAAAGGAACAGGGAGATATACTGACTTTTCTTTTTTTTTAAATCACTTACTTTCAAAAGAAATAAGGGATTTAAAAAACTATTTTAAAGATCACTAGCATTCTTTAAAATTCTCCATGGAAGGAAGATAAGGCAATCTACTTCCATAAGATTTACTGCCTTGGAAATCCAATGGGGGTCGCCATGAGTTGGAATCAACTCAATGGCAGTGTTTTTTTTTAAAGCATTCTTTTTAATGAAATCTGATTCATGGTGCTGCTCATTTAATTATTTTGTTGCTTGCAAATCATCCTGAGCAAATTTCTAAGCTCTCACCTACAGAACTGAATTGGAAATATACTTTAGTTCCTCTTCTGGATAAATACTATTATCTACATCTAAGTATCTACATCTGTCTCCATAGGAGAAAGACCTGGCAATCTGCTTCCATAACGATTACCAAAAAACAAACTCACTACCATTGAGTCAATTCTGACTCATAGTGACCCTATAGGACAGAGTAGAACTGCCCAGAGGGTTTCCAAGGCTGTAAATCTTTATAGAAGCAGGCTGCCACATCTTTCTTCTGTGCAACAGCTGCTGGGATTGAACCACCAACCTTTTGGTTAGCAGCTGAATGCTTTAACCACTGCATCACCAGGGCTCCTTCCATAAAGATTACAGCCAACCCTAAGCCAACCCTACGGGGGCAGTTCTACTGTCACAAGAGGTCACTATGAGTTGAAGTCAACTCGACAGCGCCCCAAAACACCACCGACATATCTATACCTGTATCTGTATCTAATTTCCCTATCTACCTACACAGATACACAGAGATTTTTAAAAAACTAAATTTTTGTTATATACTACAGAAAACACAAGAAAATGTACATAAACTTCTCTGACTTCAGCTTACAATGGAGATTATAACAGACAGTTTGTAGAGATAGAAGGATGAGAAAAGATAATTATAATAATATTAGTTATGACATTATATGATATATAATGATTACAATAATAGTTAACACTTATATAAGACAAGTATTATTATTTTCTTCATTTTATTACTGAGCAAACCAAGGCACAGAGAGATAAAATAATTTGCCCAAGGTCACACAGCTAGTAAGTGGCAGGTAGCAAGGATTCAAATGTAGGCAGTTTAGCCTTAATCATTAGGCTGTACCTTAAAAAATAAATATATAAAAGATTAAGAAACTATATTAAAATATCAGAAAAGTATTGACAATAAATTTCCTAAGAAGAGTGAGGAAGGATGTCAGTTTCCTGCTGTGACATTATAGCCTACAGCTGGAAAGCAAAGATTTTGAGGTCTATTTGGATATTAAAGTTCAGCTATTAGAAAAGCTTTTAAAAATCAAAGCATTTAAATATGTTTAATCACTCCCATGGGTTGAACCAGATGTATATGTTTAAGGGCAGCTCATCTTAGGCTGGTAACTCTGTATTTATGTAAGAGGTGGTATTTATTTTCAGCATAGAGCAGGAAGTAGCTACATAAGGAGAGGATGAGGAAGCTGATGATCAATCCATTATCCATGTGGCTTCACTGTTATTTTGAAGTTATATGTATTAATATGGATTTTTTATTATTAGCTTTTAAGTTTACATGCAATAAAAATGACTGTGTGTGTGTATGCGTGTATACATACAATTCTGTTTTAACACAGGTAGAGACTTGTGTAACCACTGTGACAGTCAGGGTACACAGATGAGTTCCATCACCCCCTAAAATTCTGTTTGTGGTCAGACCTGATGCCCAATCCTAACCAGTGGCAACCACTGATCTGTTCCTTGTCCCTATAAGTTTTACATTTTCCAGAATGTCATATAAATGAAATTATACATTATGGAACTTTTATTGAGATTGGCTTCTCTTACTCAGTATAATACCTTTGAAATTCTTCCACACTGTTGCATATAAAAATAGTTCATTCCTTTTTAGTGCATAGAGGTACTATAGTTTATCTATTTATCCACTGAAGGGCATCTGTGTTGTTTCAAGTTTTGGGTGATTACAAATAGAGGTGTTATAAATCAATGTTTATTCATTTACAGGTTTTTGTGTGAATTAAAAGTTTTATTTCTCCAGGGTAAATGTTTAGGAGTGGAACTGCTGGGTCTTATGGGAAATGTATATTTAACCTTGTAAGAAACTGTCAAAACTGTTTTCCAGAGTGGCTGTACCATTCTGCATTCTCACCAGCAACCTGTGAGAGTTTCAGCTGTTCTTCATCCTTGTCAGCACTTGTTATTGTCAGACTGGATCTTTTTAGCCATTCAAGTAAGTGTGTAGTGATTATTCATTCTGGCTTTAACTGGCATTTCCCTGATAACTGGTTATGCTGAGTATCTTTCATGGGCTTATCAGCCATTTGTCTATCTTTTTTGGTGAAATGTCTGTTCAAATCTTTTGACTATTTTTAATTAGGCTGTCTGTTTTCTCACTGTTGAGGTTTTTAGGTTTCTTTATATATTCTGGATACGAGGACTTTGTCAGAAACGTGATTGGCAAATATTTTCACCCAGTCTATACCTTGTCTTTTCATTCCCTTTAAAAGTGTTTCTCATAGACCAAAAGTTTTTAATTTTCATTAATCACAATTTATCAACTTTTTTCTTTATGCATTGTACTTTTGACGTCATATCTAAGAACTCTTTACTTAATTCAAACTCACGGAAGTTTTCCCTTATATTTTTTCATTTTACACTTAGATTTACAATGCATTTTAATTTTTTTTAAGGTGGGAAGCTTAGATGGAGGTTATTTTTTTGGCTTATGGATGTCCAATTGTTCCAACACCATTTGCTGAAAGACTATCTTTCTCCATTGAACTGCCTCTGTACCTTTTTCAGAAATCAACTGGCAATATTTCTGTGGGTTTATTTCGGGACTTACTCAGTTCCATTGATCTATGTGCCTATCTTGTCCCTAAAACCATATTTTCTTGCAGCTTTATAGTAAGTCTTAAAGGAAGTGTGAGTCCTCCAATTTTTATTCTTTTTCAAAATTGTTTTGGCTTTTCTAGGTCCTTTGCTTTTCCTTGTAAATTTAGAAGCAACTTGTTTAAATCTACGAAATATCCTGCTGGGATTTTATTGAAATTTTGTTTAATAGATCAATTTGGAAACAACTGACACCTTTATTATACTGAGTCATCCAATCCATGAGTATGGTATGCCTCTTCACTTATTTAGGTATTCTTTGGATTTTCAAATTCAGATGCAGACTTTATAACACATTCTGAGGCCAAATGTAATTTTTTTTTTTTTTAAAGAAAGCCTATAAAACACATGGAACTCAAGGCCTAGAATTTAAATAGCCACAGCTGACTTTCTAAACTCTATTTGTCTTTTTTTTTTTAAAAAAAAATGTCTTTATTGAGGTATAATTTACATATAATAAAATTCACGTGTTTTAAGTATATAGGTCAATGACCTGTGATGATTGTATATAACCACTACTGACACCCTACAACCACTACCCCAATGAAGACAGAGTATACCTCCATGATCTGGAAAAATTCCCTTGTGCTCCTTTGCAGCCAAACTCCTCCAGTCCCCTGTAGGCCCCAGGTTACGAATGATCTGATTTTAATCATTATATTTTTCCTCTTCTCAAATTTTCTAAAAATGGAATTGTATCGTATATTCCGTTTTGATCAACATATCTGTGAAATTCATTCTTTTGTCTGTTGGTAGTTCATTCTCTTTACTTTTGAGCAGTCTGCTATTGTATGACTATATCTCAATTTGGTTATTCATTCACCTCTTGGTGAACACTGGGTTGTTTCTAGTTTTTGGTTATGTACAAGTCATTTATGAATATATGTTTTCATTTCTCTTGGATAAATATTCAGGAATGGAATTACTGAGTCACATGGTTAACTGTATGTGTTCCTTTATAAGAAACAACTAAACTAATTTCCAAAGTTAGTTACACCATTTTACATTTTCACCATAAATGTGTGAAAATTCCAGTTACTCCATTTCTTTGCCAACACTTGGAATTGCTAGTTTTACTGGTCTTGTGGGTTCAAAATGGTATCTCATTGTGGTGGTAATCTGCATTTCTCTGAAGACTAATGTTTTTCACCAGGCTGGTAGAACTTGACTGCATACTTAACTTTCTGTTATGTAGAAAAGGTTTAAGCCTGAAAGTGATCAAGAGCCAAGGAACAGAGAGAGGGCTGAGCATGTATGATAGTGTATATTCATGTATTCTGGAGCTATCCATGCCCTCTTTTCCTTCCATTAGTAAGGATAATTGCATATGACATCTGAAGTTTCAGGAGTCAGGAGCTTTTTTGGAAATCAGAATAATAAAAAATCTCTTACCTGCTATTTTCCTCTTCATCCACGGACACACAAACAGCCATACAAAAAGGGCAAACAGGAGAGCAACGCCAAAGGAGATGAGTGCTATCGCCCACATGGGAAGAACTAGACCGAGCACTGTGAATAAAAATCAGTAGATGTGTTGTTATTGGCTACTTTCTGAAAGGTCAAGCCTCATATCAGCATATTTTCCACTCCCCAAACCCCAGATCTAAAACTAATCACCTGGGTTTTGTTTTTAATAAAATTCTCCTAAAAAAAAAAAAAAAGTGCTACACTTTTGGGGTAGTGTTCAAGATATACTACACATTTGAATAGGAGCTCTGGTAGTGTAATGCCTAAGGCACTTGACTGCTAACCAGAAGGCTGGCGGTTCAAACCTACCAGCACTCCTCAGAAGGAAGATGGGCAATCTACTTCGTAGTGATATTGCCTCGGAAACCCAAGAAGGGGTTGCTATGAGTTGGGTCCAACTCAACAGCATTATCAACAACAACACACATTTGAATATGTGGTTAAACTGGTTAGTAACATAATAATTAAAATTTTTCCATCTGGCATAAACTGCATATTAAATTGGTAATAAAACCGCTTCCATATTATCTCAACATCTAAATTCGTGAGTGGCAAATGTGCTTAAGAAATGAGTTCACCACCTTCTGTCCTAAGAGCCAGTCCATGGTGAGAATGAGAGGCTGAAGTCTGGCATGCTGCACACGCCAGGAACTGTGGCCTCTCCTGGCTTCTCAGCCGTTGGCAGCCCTGCTTAAATGACAATGGCATTCTGACCACATACGCAAACCTTTTTTAAAAATCAGCTTAGAAATCAAAGTTCTTTAAAGGACATCAACCTTCTATCTAGAAGAGTCAAATTAATAGAGGCATCGAGTAGACTAGAGGTTACCAGGGGCTGAGGGGTGGTGGGGGAAATGGAGTTATTACTTAATGGTACAGAGTTCTTATTTGGGAAACAGAAGGAAAGAGGTTGAGGATAATAAAGGTAATAGGTAATAAAGACTGGCTGTATGGCAAAATGCATAACTTGATCCAATTTGTGTTTAAAAAGGATCTGGAAAGAAAGACTTGTGATGGTTACACAACATTGTGAACATACTTAACACCACTGAATTGTACACTTAAAAATGGCTAAATGGTTAAAAAAAAGGCACTGATCTTCAAATTTATGGAATTACAACAAAAACTATATATTAACATGCAATAATGTACATTAAGTTGCAATTACATCAGCCAGTAAAAAGGCAGGCAAGCACTTTATGGTTTAAGAGCATCATATTTTCAGAGCACTACAGTATCTCCAAAGCTCATCAGTCTGGATTTTGTATATCTTCTGTCACTGGTGGCAACAGGCACATTTTACACATGTCCACAAGTGTACAATTTAGATACCCACACTCGCATATGAAAACAAAGATAATGTACAAGGATAATTATCTAAGCATCATGTGGAATAGTAAGCAAAGCAACTAATATATGCAACATATAGAAATGTGAAGTAATTGTAGTATAGAGTCATAACAAGGAGGTAATCTATATGTACTGAGGTCAAAGACAAAATAGGTAGGTAACAAAGGCTAGCTGTGTAACAATATGCATAACTTGATCTAATTTGTTTTTTTTTTAAAGAAAAAAACCACTTCTACACCCAAGATTACATTTGTGAAAGTATAGAAAAATGTTCCAGCAAGATACTCAACTGCTAACAATGGTTACTTCTGGGAAGAGGTGGGAAACCGGAGTGGGGCTTTTACTTCTTACTACATACACTTTTGTACTGCTAACTATTAGAATATGCAATAAGTACGTCCCTTTTGTAAACTGCTTATTTTTTTACAATTAAATTTTTTATAATTTAAAGGAGTAAATGATTTTGAACTTTACTCTTAGTCAATTGAATACATCTTTAATCGTGCAGGCTTTATTTCATTGTTATCCATTGGATACATATAAAACAGCGTGAAGTTATTCAATTATTCATTAAACATTTTGATAATTATAGGAGTTTATATACTAGATGGCTAACTAATAATATAAATGGGGAAACAGGATTAACGTATATAATTTAAAAAAAAAAAATCAATAAAAAACCAGAATCACCAAACTTAATTGTAGCTAAGTTGTCAGTTATTATGCAGGACTGCTCCACTCCCAGATGCCTGGTTACATCAGAAAGCTATGGACTGTATGCTCCTGCACTGAAGCTTGGAGCTGCTTGTAAAACCATCAGGCTGACTTCACTGGGCTGTGCCTCCTGGCTTCTGTGTCATATCCTCATGTCAGTATTTTAGTACATGTGATAAAGGATCACTCCCCAAGTTGTTTCTAGTCAAACTGAGTGGTTACTGGTAATTACCAAATTTAATTGATCAGCTAGCATCAAAACCAATCACTGCTAGAGCTTCAAAGTATTTGTTTCTTGAAGAGGTTGACCTTGCTTCCTTTGTAGCTCTTGGTTGGTTGACAATAAAACTGTTAATTGTGCTACTTTTGGTTTTATTGTGTTAACCTGATGTCAGAGGGTCAAGCCCTAGGTACTGTGGGAGATATAAACAATTCAGGATACAATTTTTTTAAAAAAATGAATGAACATTTTTGCTCACAAGCCATATTTGTTTCCATCCATTGCTGAGCAAGGCCTAAAGCAAAAGAAGAGAGTGCTGCTTTATGTGCTTGTTCTAAGCCCCACTCTCTGCTTTCTACTAAGATCATGGTGGGTCCTAGAGGGTATCAGGACCTACCTTTAAAAGGGAGAAACTGAGGTCAGTTATCAGGGTTTTCATCCTTTGCTTAGACAATAAGCTATAATATCACCTGCCCTTTGTTTTTTTCCCATTATACCTGCCTTTGCCATCTGCTTGGCCTGGGAAGTGGCCAGGGAACTCTAAAGTGACTACCTCAACATAACATCATGATAAATGGAGAAAAGATCTAAGTTGCCAAGGTACGGTACAGTAAATTACATAGTGTGGCTTTTCTAGCCATAAGTCTTTGTAAACTCCGTGGTGGAATTTGCTGTAAGCAACTGAGTAGCTCCTGACTGTTAAAGTTATTCACCTGGGGTATTTCTGTTGGGAGCAGCATAAAGTAATTTTCTGAGGAGTCTCTCTCTCAGGTGTTAGAATTCTGATGTTGGGATTGGGTAGTTTTGCCACTCTGCCAGGCTCAAAAGGAGCCCTCCGAGAGGCAGAAGGAGTCTCTCTGACTGCTGGCTGAGAAAGATGTGCTGCTGAGAGAAATATGCTCCTGAGAGACACACACTAGCTCAGACAGAGATGTGAGAGACACGTGCTGCTGAGAGAGAGACTGATGGCTGCTAAATGAGACAGCCGGCTGTAAGAGACTGAGTGCATTTCTGAACTTGAATTGTAGCCTGTTGTTTTCCTAATAAACCCCATAATCTGTGAGTTCTGTGTGGCCACTGCAGTGAATTATCAAAGCCAGCAGAGAGGTGCTGGGTGCTGGGGGAGGAACAACTGGTGTCAGGTTGGTGAAAGGGCTAGAGGGAGGCAGCATACCTGGCTTCGCAGAGATAGGCCTTGGGCTACTAATGGTGATTCTGTCTTGCTCTTGTGGGGTTAGAGGAGATCAGAAGACGCAGCCTCCCTGCCCCTTTGGCACAAGGATTTCATTTTACTTGGATCCACAGTCATTGCCCATGGAAGGAGCAGTCAAGAAATGAAATCTGCATTAGCAAATCTGCTGCAAAAGATCTCTTTAAAGTTTTTAAGAACAAATATGTCACTTGGAAGACCAAGGTAAACCTGCCCAAGCCATGGTATTTTCAACAGATTCCTATGCATGTGAGAGCTGGACAATGAATAAGGAAGACTGCAGAGGAATTGATACATTTGAATTGTGGTGTTTGCAAAGAAAACTGAATCTACCATGGACCACTAGAAGAACGAACAAATCTTTCTTGGAAGAAGTACAGCCAGAATGCTCCTTAGAAACAAGAATGGCCAGATTTCATCTCTCACACTTTCATCATGTTATCAGAAGGCACAAGTCTGTGGAGAAGAATATCATGCTATATAAAACAGAGGGTCAGCAAAAAAGGGGAAGACTCTCAACGAGATGGACTGACACAGTGGCTGTGACGACGGGCTCAAGCATGGCAATGATGCAGGCTTTGCTTCATTGTTAACCAGCGGATACACATAAACCAGTGTGAAGTTACACTGCAGGGTGGGCAGTGTTTCACAACACGGGGTTCCCATGAGTCGAAACCAACTTGATGGCACCTAACAACAACAATGTCATAAGAAACTGGACAGGAAAGCAGGGGATAGACACATGACTGAGGGTGGGAGAGGTGAGGAGGCACAGGAAAAAATCACAGAGAAGGATAAAGAGCAAGGGAATCCAGGAATACAGGGAAAAAGTTGCTGATAAGGAATAAGAGAGCAGGGAGAAACAGAAGGGGAAGAGGGGCCTCACCACATTACTTTAGCAATTTAGAAATTTAAAAGAACATGAGAGTTTATTTTTAAAGCTTGAATATAGGAAATGCAAACTTATATTTATGTTACACAATTCTAAACTGTGTTAAATATATAAAATCAAATTTCATGGATGAAAACTGATTAAATACAAAAATTCTGCATAAAAAAGTAGTTGAATCAATGTACATTCAAGGCAAACCTTATCTTTTTTTTTTTTTCTCCCTGAAAATGTAAGGTTGACTTAAGTGAAACAAAATTTTTGACAAAAATACTTTGTATTAAATTGCCTTCCCCTGAGGGTCTCAAATTGTTTCCAAATAATGACACCTTAAGAGGGTAATCAGACATGGAGCAGCAACGCACTGTGTGGATGGACAAAGTAGGGCATAGCTTGAATTACTCCCGTTCATCCAGCCAAGAGCAGCTGCCAGGAACCATGGCTGGGAGCTCTGGATCCCAGCTCTCAGCTCCAGCCACTCCATGGCCTTTCACCTCTAGCTCCTTTACTTTCTGAGCAGCAAAGATTTCATGAATAATGATTGAGCTCTAACCTCAAACATCTTCACAGTGCTATTTCAAATCCCTAAAAGATCAGAAGAACATTTAAGTGATCTGAGGAAGAAACAGATCTTTTTCTAAAACATTCACAGTCCACCC